GGATGTGGAAAGCGGAGCCTTTCACGTGGTCTTTTCCGACACGCCCCTTGTGGGGTTCTTTGGGGGCGGGGAGTCCGGCTGCGATAACTTCACCCTGGGGAGATCGGTGCAGGAGAGTGCAGACCGGGACTCGGCAGACCTCAGGCGCAGGAATTCGCTGAAGAAACTGCAGAATTTGGAGAAGTCGTTCACTTGTGTAGTATGCTTGCTGTCATTTGGCTGAACAGTGAGGCATTAGTGAGTGATCTCTTTAATTTGCACTTGAAATTAGGAAAATAACTGGTCCACTGACTTGTTGACATTTTGAACTTTAAACTCTCCAGACTTGAGACACTGTTGCTATGGACTCTGTGCGGAAGTGCCCCCTCGCTTGGCTACAAACAGGGAGTAAGGAATGACCAGCAGTCCATTTCACGAAACAGTGCGTAACTTATGCCATGCGTAGGACGTACACAATGGCACAGCTGCGCAATAAACTTTAAAAAAAAAACGATACACAAAACTTGGCAGAGCTGCGCAACATTTTAAACTTAAACATCTTGGACAAGGATAATAATAACAGTATTTACAACGGCTGTTTGTGTATGATTTAGTTCGTTCATGAAACAGCTGTTGAATCACCTCCGCCCATTAGTTTGAAAATGCTGTTGTCCGACTTTTTGGGTTCAGAATCAAGCGAATTATACTCAGTTTTGAAAACTTTGTTCATGAAAAACATTTGTGAGAAAGTTTGCTGGGGGGGGGGGGGGGTGCCATATTTCAATAGGTGGCGCTGGTACCATATTTCAATAGGTGTTACAGTACAATTACAGAAGTAATCCTCTGTAACTGATTATTTACACTTTTGCAAAAGCTTTGATTTCTTACTGTCAATCACAAATTTCTTGTAGTGTTGGCAATTCCCTAGACTTGGCCAAGTCTGGGTTGCACTCTGTATCTAAATGTGCGCATATACGCGTACGTACACTGTACACACCGTACCACAACGCGCCCTCATGCGTCAAATCCAGACCAACATGTTAAAACCGTGCATGTTCACTGTACATGTTATTTTTATGTGATGCAGCAATTGCTAACTTTTGCACCACATGCATGCACATGCTCTGCATTACATGCACACACATGTGCGTATAACACGCGTGTTGTGCAATCCTAAAAATTCTGAAAAAGCTGCTGGTGAAACAAGAAACTTTTATTAAGCAAAACTAAGGACACTTGTGTAAAAACTAAAAGGTCACTTGTGTAAAAAGGGCACTCTTTACAAAATAATCTGGGGGGGGGGGTAACCACTGGTGCAAAAAATGGGGGCGGGGTGAGCAATATATCCAACAGTGCTTGTGACCTAGTCTGACTGAGCTACTGTGGTCACCTGATCACAAGTGGTGATCTGATTGGCCAATGTGCACTGTTGATTGACATGCAGGAAGGGTCCATTATAACCTTTTCTTTGATTCCTTGCAGGAGTCTACCTATTCCCAGGAAGCGTACTTGTGCAGCTTACATGTACATGTGCTGGCTGGAGACATTATCCAAGGATATGCTGTCATCGGGGGACTTAATTGCATCACCTGACCAAATATGGTATCCAAATAAAAGTCAATACAAAGAATTTCACTTGAAATACCATAAAGTGATACCATCTGATGGCAGCTTTATAGGGACAAAGGACATTTCTTGCCAGTTGAAAGACCCTCCTCACTTTAATAGAAGTTGTGCTTTGTGTTAATTGATTTCGTTAAGATTGTTTCTTTACCATCTGACGGGCTCACACTTTCACTGATGTTTTTAAAGTGAGTTTCTTGAATGCAATCAAGTAATAATGATTAAGAACAATAAAAGTCTTATAATAATTTGGAGTCTTTTAATCAAGAAACACTTGTCGCATTTTACGGGCTTTAAAAACAACAGCCAACTCCACTTTTTTCATTACTGTGGGCACGTTTCTGTTTAAACTGAAAGTAATTAAAATCATGGTGTTTTTTTTTCATAACGAAGCCAAGCGAAAAAAGAGAGTATTTATCAACAATGGTGGTGCTTTTGGTAATCCTCAGAATGAGGTTTTATTCATACTGTTTTCATAGCCAGTCAATTGTTACTTTTACATAATTCTCACATATTATAACGTTTAAAATAAATGCAATCATTTAATAAAAACCAGTGTATTCTAATTGCTGTGAATAACATCAGATTATTTCAAACAATTGTTAATCCAAATGCCAAGCTTTAAATCTATAAGAAAATCAGATTCAATCACTCGAGACTTTTTTCGTGACATTTTTTTCAGAAATGTGTGTGTTTACAGTACGCCCTAAAATTATCCAGGTAGGTAGGTAGGCAAATATTTTGTTTGTTTGTCGGTATGTTTTTTAAAAATTTATTTGTTTACGTTAGGATACCTATATATAGGTATTCTGTTTAATCAACCTCATTTTATTAATTAACTACCCAATAACACAAAAAAATCGCACTTATTTTCAGGAACAAAACTATGTGATATTTTTGGCCTAATATGGCAATAAACAGTTGGCGGTCGGCAATTTGGCCTAAATAATTCCAGGAAGGTTCGTTTATCGTTAACATTTTGTTTTAGTTGTAAACATTCTGATGGCACTGCTTTATTGCAAACGTGGGTTTGTTTTGAAGAAAAAAATAACTTAAAGCGTACATTTCACTATTATCTCATGCAATACTCGCACATAAAGCTAAATACATGCACTCCAAAAAAGTTATCTATTGTATACAGATATGCGCATGCGCAATGCCAAAAAATGTTGTTATATTTTTGTGGCATGGAAAATTATTGCTTTTAATTCATTAGGCGAAGTAAAAAAACAAACATGTTTCTCGTCCCCGCCCGCTTCCTTTTTGGAGGCCGCCTGGATTTTTTTGTTATTTTTTATTTTTGAAAAATGCAGTAAAAAAACACCGAAAATGTCCACAAATTCATGGGAAAATAAATTGTAGACCAACACAAGTCTAAATGACACTGTAAATATGTTCAGTTCTCTTGTCCAACTTATCTTTCATTTAAAAAGTGTCTTTGAAAAGTGGAAACACCAACAGTTGCAGGAAATGTCTAATTGGCGGCCATCTTGAAACAAATAAAAAATAAAAAGCCCCGCTTCCTCCTTTTTTTCAAAAACCCGGACGAGAAACATGGGTATTTTTTATTCGGCCTTAGTTATTGTTTCGGCAAAATGGAAAGCACTTAAAAAAATCAGCAACACGATATGCTCGTGTATCTTATGTGTTGGATTTGTTTATTCGGGGTAAAGGAGGAAGCCACTGAACGAGGTGTAGTGATCGGAATCACTATACACCCTACCGTACATCGTGAGATCCATTGTATCTCCACGCTGCAGAACCACCACCGCGCTCCCAGACACCTGCTCATGGTGACTTGAATCACTGCTACAGCCAGAGACAACCACGTCGCCGTTCTTCCGGAGATGAACGTACAGGGTGACGGGATACTTATACACAGAAAACATGAACACGTAGGTGCCTGGCACACCACACGTGAACGTGGCGGTCTCGAGATCGAAGCTGGTACCCGGCAGAAGCGTCTCGATCTCCTGGAAGGGCAAACGGTAGACGTAACTCGTAGAGGTATCCGAGGCGCTCGTCCTCACCACGGTGAATGCTACCCGCTGGTTGGAGTCGTCTGGTGTCTCCCCCGGCTCACCCTTTTGTCCTTTGACACCAGTTTCCCCCGTTGGCCCTACAACACCTGGGACACCTCTTGGACCTATTTTTCCGGGCTGGCCTATGCCTTCGTCCCCTTGAGGCCCAGCTGCTCCACGCTCACCCATAGGTCCAATCGGTCCAATATCACCCTTTTGACCTGGCTCGCCCTTTGACCCTGGCTGGCCTAGGGACCCAGGCAAACCTGGTATGCCGGGAATTGCAGCCGGCCCCTGGCAGCAGCACATCGGACACGCCTGAGACGCAGGACCATCACCGTCCGAGGGAACTGGCCCAGTAACGGAAGCTCGGAGGTTGACGGAGTTACCCAGAAGGAGGGCGATTGAAAAAACGGTTGCCACGCAGATCTTCATTCTGTACAGAAACAAAGCATGAAACTGAAACAAATCAGGTGAGATTTTTTTTTCTTCAATAAAATAGTTTTTAAAAACGGGAAGAGTAGAGAAAAATATTGAGGTTTGATAAACAGGAGAACTAGTCTAAAATTAATGACAATTCGCCGTCAGATTTGCAGAAAAAAAACCCAAAAACATGAGATTGGAGGAATCATTGTTCAAAGAATGTTTTCTTTGTTATATAACAGTGGCGTATAAGGGGTCAAGGGGCTAACATTTATGAAAAGGCTAGTTTGTTCAACCGGTTGCCATGGCAACCCATCGAATCGATTTTCTTTTTATCTCGCCCGCCAAGAAAAGTTAGGAAAGGTCACTAAATTGCATTCCGATAGGGCAAAGCGTTCCGGAGCTGTAGTATTTTTAGGGGGAGGGGGCACACATCTTGCCCCTGCCCTGGTCCTGATAGAATCATTAAGGTGATAAACAAAAACAAACGAATTACAACGTGACTCAAGAAAGAATTAGGACATTCCGATTTAAAAAATTAATTAAATGAAGACAAATTCCAAAGAATCTGATTACACAGCAACTAAATATTGGTGTGATCAATGTTTGTTTTCATCTAAGTTCCCTTTTTTGACAAAACTGATATACGTCCATAAAAAATGTGAAGGAAATTTCAGCGCGTTTCCGCTATAAGTTCAAGGCACCCTGATGAGTTAACGAGGAATTTGCAAAGACTGCAGGCCAAAATGTCTGGCGTAGTTCTGCGGTGGGTGTTATAGGGAGGGAATATCACTCGAGCGATGTTTTCTTTAAAAATTTTGACCAAAAGGTGTATATAGAGAAAAAAATACAGTCTTCCACTAATATCACAACTCTGTTCTGATGATTGAGTGAGGAAAGTGTCAAATAACGGACACTCGCCTCGATGTAACGTTCTTGAATTCTATCACGAAGGGAATCCTCAGCACTCAGCAGATTGCGAGCTGGAAATAATACCAACGAAAATGAGTCATTGAAAATCCGCTGGGAGATATCTTAGGGGCTGTTGGGGGAGGCATAGCTGAATTTCACAAGTAAAACACCCCCAGATCAAAATCTCTGTCGGGCGAAATGCGATCTGGATTGATAATATATATATGCTTTTTAAGCGGAATGCGTCCTGCATGCAACGGCCCTGAACAGACCCACGCACGAGCAACAATATTCATGTCTTCTGTGAAGGAATTAATATTTTCGAATCAAACGCAGTAACTACCAAAGCAAATACCCAGATTTTCTGAGAGAAAACTGTATGCAAAAAGAATTTAAGGCCACGTAGGATCATTTGCAACTGCCCGGAAAAGTACATATATGGCGATTTGATGACAGAAACCTTGCAATGCTGGTGAAATACCCGGTGAAATTATTTCGCCTGATATATCCTTTGAAAACTTTGAAGGTGTTTTTAAAATTTAAAAAAAAATAGTTTAAGGTGTTATAAAGCAACGGAATCAAGTTACGAGATCCAACAAAAGAGTGCATACGTTTTCTCTGCTTTACTCAATGATAGTATCCACTGAGCTGAAACTTTAACAAGTTAGTTGCGACCTTCTTAGTTTTTAAGCCATTTTGTTGCTTCTCACGAAAAAAAAATGCATCAAAACCAAATGATCCTATGCTTTTCAAAATTGCTTGCTTTTGAGATTGTGGGAATCACAATGAGCATACATTTTCTGCATTAATAAGAAAAATCGATCTCATACCAAGGAAGTAGTGGCGGAAATCAGGTGGACACCGCAGTCAAGGTACGGTCGTTATAAAAAATAATTATCTTCCGGATCGGAAATTAGCGCACCGGTTTGGCTATTAGCATCAGCCACCATCTGTTTGTTAACTGAATAATGTCCCATATTTTTTCCCATTATTTGTGTACTCAAAAAATTTGGTTAAAGTGGTCATAAATTGCCTCAGATCGCACCACAGAGCATTTAGAATCAAACAAAAGAAGAAGAAAAAAAAAACATTCGGGGCCCTTAAGCGGGCCCTGAATCTGACGCCGTAATTTTTTGGACCCACTTTGGGGGGACACAATTATTTTTGGGCTCCCCCCCCCCTCCCCCAAAAAAGTGTTCTGGATCCGCTCTTGACAGTAAAACAGAAGGGACGAATAATTTGTACAGACATCAACGCTGTACATGATTTCTACAAATGAATCCAACTAGATAAAGCAGTTTTGAACTTGAATAAAACTGTTTGCATCATCACGATCCGGTCCGTTTGTATTTGCGCCCTCTATCAGTGACACGTTCATCCTGTAGTGATTGAATATAACTTGATGATCAAACCGGAATGGCGCACTGTGAACTCTCGCGAAATGACACAGTTTAACAACAAAGTTCAAAGGCTACTGAGTATCCACATAAATGATAACACAAAATAAGACAGGCATGTTTGAGTTGTCCTGATTTCCTGATAAACGTTCTTCCGTGACCAACTTCCCCATAACTCTTCATCCTGAATTAGTTTGAGTGATAGCCGGAATACAATGCGAGGACATCGCATCAGGATTTCATGTTTAAATATTAAAATGATAAATTAAACAGGAAAAAACGAGGCAGAAAATAAGGAGTGGTTGATCATACCTATATTGATGTAATGAGCTCTTGAAAAAAAATGGATCCAAAATTTGATTCAAAACCAGTCGAATCTGAACAACCTTGTTTTGACACTAAATTATTTCGTAAATGTATAGTGTTATATGAGACAAGATATATCGTCTTAAAAAACTGAAGACGTTTTCGAAATAGTGTGCCGGTGGGCAACGAAATTCAGTGACAAGAACCAACAAAAAAATAATCCCTTTAATTTATCTGTTTTGGTCAAAATAATGTAAAGCATCAACTGAGCTAAAAGTTCAAAAGTTAGTTGTGCTGCATCATGCTTAAGATTGTGAGCAATTGCTCCTTTGTTCCTCTAATTGGTTCAAAGTTGCTTGAACTTGTGGTTTTAGGAATCACAATGAGCATACAGTTTCTGCATTAATGAGGGAAATCGATCTCATACCAAGGAATACAGCTGGACTACCGCAGTCAAGTTACAGTCATTACATAAAGATTTATTTTCCGGATGGGAAATCAGAGCACCGGTTTGGCTATAAGCCACCATCTGTTTGTCAACTGAAACATTTCTCAAATTTGTGAAAATCTGTACCAATCACCAAAAACTTTCGAAAAAAAAGCCAAAAACCAATATGGCTGTTTGTCCAAATATCCAACAGAATCTCAGCGGCATGCTGAGTGGAACCCTACATGCAAATACATGAGTGAATTCATCGAGAGCTTTTGCTTCAATCTCTTCAGGCGAACAGAAAGCCTGAGCAATTTGTACAAACATCAACTCAATACAGGATTTCTACACATTCATCCAGTTAAATACAGCAGTTTGAACTGGTATAAAACTGTGTGCATCATCACGATCCAGTCTGTTTGTATTTGCGCCATCTATATTCATGACACGTTCATCCTGCAATGCCTGAATGTAACTTGATGATCAAAGCGCACTGTGAACTCTAGCGAAATGGCAAAGTTGAAAGGGTACTGCTTGAGCAATAACACAAAATAAGACAGGCATGTTTTTGATGTCCGGATTGCCTGATAAACGTTCTTCCGTGACCAACTTCCTCATAACTGTTGATCCTGAATTAGTTTGAGTGATTGCCGGGAAACAATGTGAGGACATCGCACCAGAATTTCATGTTTTAAAATTAAAGCGATAAAATTAAAATGGCAAAATGAGAAAGAAAATAAGGAGTGGTTGATCATACTGATTTTATGGGTGAGGTTATTTATAAAGGATGGAGCTTTCGCAAAATGTCTTCTTTAAACCAAAGACATAAACTTTTTTTAAGTATTAAAAGTGCGTGAATTTGTTTAAGCATTAATCACAATCAGTTGAAACTATTCTGAAATCAGCATGGAACTTGATGTTTTAAACTCTTCTCAAAACTGCAATCAGAAATGACTAGAAAAAGTCCTACTGATAGCCTTTGTTTTGACAATACAACTTTTCGGGAATGTACAGTGTGCTATCTATTATAGTGACAAGATTTCAACTTTATCAAAACTAAACCAGTCAGTATGTGAACAACAATTTAGTTTGAAGCGTGCGAAATGAAAGTAGAGGCGGAAATAAAGTCAGACAGGAATTCCTCATTCCGAACAACAAAACCCTGATATATTTGGGTGATCGGGTACTACCCGATCATTGTTTGGAAATGTTCAGAAATTTCTTTCTTTCTTTCTTTCTTGTTTTTTTTTCGGACAATAACTATCTGCGACTTTTCTACTGAACCCTACAGTACACGGTATAAACTTCAAACCTTGAACGAACATCAACACTGGTGTACCTTTTGTATACTCTGACGTCATAATGACATCATCGGGTATCTTATTACAAGCGATTTCACTGCAAAAACTCATGAACAAAATGAACAATCATGTTCACACTTTAAATCTGATTGACTATACATTGATAAACATTTTTGATATTCGAAGGTAAAGTCGTCTGACCTTTCCTACCGGGGTTACCGGTAGGTCAAATTTAGGTGAATTCAAAATGCAAAGAGAAGCCGCAGAAGGACGAAACCTGGTATAAACATGAACCTTAGTGTGAAGATGGGGATATTTTAGCGACGTCATCATGACGTCTTCATACATCAAATTACAATCATATCAGCTTAAAATTTGACAAAATAGTTTGACAGGCGCGGATCCGGGGGTGGGGTCCCCCCCCCCCCCCGCTGTGAAACACACACAAAAATATATCACAATTATAGTAATTATAATAACCAATTAATAATAATAGGTAATTAAAATAGTAATTATAATAACCAATTAATAATAATAACCCATTTGCCTGTCACAACAATCTGACATTATTTTTTTAGGAGCCTGACCCTCCCCCTGCAAAAATTCCTGGATCCGCCCCTGTTTGAGCAATATCTTTTGTCCTAATAAATCTGAGTGTTCATTGTTTTGTGAAGTGGCAGATTGTGCCTTGGGCGATGGGCTACAGGACTACAGGGTCATCATATTTGGGTGGAATTTTTGTTCCAAAAAGGTCATCGGATTATCCCGCTAACATTGAACAGACAATGAAAGATGATGAAATAAGCTTTAATTCGAAGGGTGTTTCAAACACCTTGGAGAGCTGTGAGTATTTGTCCTGATCTTTACAAATGGGGGTATTTATCACTGAGGTCCTTGGCAGTTTATTTGCTGGTCTGCAGCCGTAGATATTCTTTGAATGACCCCAAACGTCTTTGCGACAATTCAGCATTGTGACGTCATCGAACGGAAGTTAGTTTGAAACTGAATCGCATGTTGATTCAAAGACCACGAACAAAAAGGCTACGGTTCAAAAAGGTTTGTTCATAGCAGCGATTGGCCAAAATGTAAGGCACAGTTGTACAGTGAGTGTAGATTTGTACACTTCCTTTTTTTCGAATGACGTTTTCTGTTTATAACTGTGACCAAAAACTGTATACATGTAAATGAATAGAAAAAAAGATACAGTCTCCCACCAAATCACCGCTTTATTACGATGCTTGAATGAAGAAAATGTCAAACAGACACTCACCTAAGCACAGTTCTTGAATTCTATCGCGGGAGCACTCCTCAACACTCGAACGAATTGCTGGCTAAAAAAAATACCAACAAAAATATGAGTCATTAAAAATCCTCTAGGAGATTACTTGGAGTCTGGTGGGGAGGCATAGCTGAATTCCACAAGCACAATACCGCCAAAAAAAGTCCGTACAGTTGAAAATGTAATCTGGGTTGACTATTTATCTCAAATGCGTTCTCCAAAAACCAAATCTATCCATGAATTCGACAAAATGCATCCAGCTACTGAACTTGTATAAAATTGTGTGCATCATCATGATCCAGTGCGTTTGTATTTGCGCCCTCTAGTCTATTCTGACCAGTGACACTTTTATCCTGCAATGCCTAAAAGTAACTTGATGAAACCGGAATGGCGCACTGTGAACTATGGCGAAATGACACAGTTCAACAACAAAGTTCAAAGGCACTGAGAATATCCACATTAATAATAACACAAATAAGACCGGCATTTTGAGATGTACGGATACCTGTATACGTTCTTCCGTGGCCAACGTCCGCATAACTTTTCATCCTGATTGAGTTTGAGTGATATCCGGAAATAATGTGAGTACATTGTACTAGGGTTTCATGTTTGAAAATTGAAATGATAAAGTCTATAGGAAAAAAAGGAGGCAAAAAATAAGTGTGCTTGATCATGCCAAAAATATTGGCCAGGTTATAACGAATCCAGGTTTTGCGAGATTTGTTTTTGAAACCGAAATGTGAAACACCGATTTGAAGTCCCTCTGAAATATTATTTTGAATAAGCAGGTATAATAATACATCTTTACTGTTCTGAATCACAGCAGGGAACTTGCGGAAAACTGCGGTCAGAAAACAGTCCAACCTAACAGTCGAACCTTAATATAAAAAAGGTCCATGTGACTTTACAAGAATCCAAATGATTTTTTTCAAAGAGTAAAGAAACCAGTCAGTATTTGGACAATAATTTATTTTTGAGAGTGCACAACGCAAGTAGTAGCGGAAATATTGCCTTACAGGAATTCCTCATTTTTATTGCCTTGAAATTTGAACTCGCAAAACCGTGGTCTGCATCCGCAACAACTGTTTACATTAAGAGCTGAAATAAAATAGCTCGATAATTTACAAAAGTATTTGAAATTAACTCTTTCAGACGGGCTTTGATTAGTGCATGTTATGCACAAACAAAGTCCGTCTGAACAAGTTAATTTCAAACACATTTGTAAATTATCGCGATCTTTATCAACTCCAAAGGGGTCGTTGGGAAAAGGCACAACTTCTGGATCGGAATTAGCACGCTGGCTTTGCTGCTAGCAAACGTGTATCAGAGTCATAGTAAAAAAGAAATTGAACATTTGTTCTTAAAAAAATTTTTTTCAGTCCTCAAGCTACCACATTTTACAAACACACAAAGACGGGGAAATATCAAGCCTACTACCGAGCTCGTTGTTTAAAAAAATCATTGAATCAGCAACATTCAACAAAATCTGAATCCCGCATTGATTCAAACACATTGTGCAAAAGACAACACATTTCTTCCGAGGAAAAATGATTGTTTTAAACACTCACCGAGTTCTTGTAGTCATCAGTTCTCTCTCTGGTTGTTGTCCGAAGATGGCGATAAGCTATGTTTGCTGTGAGGGGTGGACGGCCCCACATGTCTTAAATAGTGCCATCGATTTCCTGAGCAGTGACTAAAAACTCGGACCTGGTTTGTGATTGCATGGCCGCCATGCGCTGTCAATCACACACCACCGACTCGCTTCATATTAATGATACGAGAGCAATGTTTATGTCGTTGAGGCTATATACTCACCATAAAAAACTAGTCACCGACATTGAAATGGCCGCTTCTTATTGGTGGATATTGTATGGATGTCGGTGACACATCCAAACTTGAGCTTTGTGATTGACACACGCAACCTGTCAGTCACAGACCACTCATTTGTGGTCACCGACTTGTGGTCACCGACTTGTCACCGACAAACTGTGATTGATGGATAGACAAGTGACGTATACACTGGCCGTGATTCATTCAATGTACAGTTGGCGCTTCAGTCTATTAAATTGTGTGGATATTTCCGGGATTATATGAGGAATTAAATCGTACTCAAGCCAGCGGAGAAACTTGGGTTTAACTTGGGTAGGGCACCTGGGGTGCGTTATTTTTTTCAAAGGCTGCACTAAATGCAAAACTAAAGTATCATTACAACAGTGAATGTTTTAATTCAGGTTTTCAAAATGGAGCGGAGCGGGGGGGGGGGGGGGGGGGCAGCTTCCACTGGGGGTGGGGGTACATGTGCCCCGTGTCCCCCGTAGTTATGCCAATGAGGTAGGCTTTGCTCCTTGATTGGGACTTTGAGGAAATAAAATACAGTTAAATAAACTTCCATGAACTTTACGCATCATATACGGCCCGTGTATAATTGTAGCCTTCTAAATGTGAAAAAGGTTTTTTACACTTGAATATCTCCCTTTTGAATATTCATTCAGAAATGTTCAATGTATGACCGGTGATGATGGACCTAAAAAGCAAACGTTCACTACCTAAAGTAATGATACAGTTCCAAAATAGCATGTAAAGTGATTTAAGATCCCCCCATATCAACGAGAAAGGCTTGTATGGAACGACCAGATTTCCTACATTTGCTAGTTGGTGGCCTCCGCATAACGCGTACGATTCACCCTGAACTACTAGCCCTGGTGATATCCGGACAAACAAATCACACCAGAATTTGCCATTCTGTATTGCGAACCACCACGATTTATAATAATCTTTGAAGCAATGACGTAGCGACGATGAGGGTGGGGGATAGTTGAACGACCACATACCCCCAACTTCCCCTCCCCCCCCCCAATACCAGTGAGAAAACAAAATGACAAAGCCGCTTGTCTGATTAGGGGCCTTACATGGCCTTGTTCCGAAGCCGGGCACAAAGTCTATGTTTACAAAACGACCGAATCAAGAGACAGACCGGGGTTTCCCAAACTCCGGTTTCGTTCCGCATACTGGTGTAGCGTGAATATCCGACTCTGTGAAATGTGGACTCATTGGTAGTACTGCGCACGCGTGAGTACGATACTATGCTATTTTTAGGATCGTTTCCGGAGAGTGACCTGTCACGTGCGAGGGATCAACCAATAATAGGGAAATAGGGGTCCGATTTTCATAGGAGTCGGATTTTCATGTGACACCGGCTTCGGACATACAGTTTTGCAATAGAGCTGGATCCAGTATTGGAATTAAGCTGGGATGTGGAAACCTCGCTTGCAGCTCACTCGACGTGTGTCTAGTCTCCGTTCAAAACGCCTCGCTGTTTCGCCACCCGGTAAACTATCGGCGCTAGTCAGGGTGACCTTGTGAAAAGGCTACCGTTAGGCCTCTTGACCAGCAGCGGGAATCTCTTGTTAATATTTGCGGAACCACCAACTTGGAAAGTTTGAAAAGCTGGGGTGGAGGGGGTTGGGCTAGACGCTACCTGACTATTGAGGGCACTGTTCCCAAATGCATGTTTACATACCCGCTCTAGTGGTAGTGACATGAAATAAAAGACATTCTTATTAAAATTCTTATAAAATGTTTTATACTTGGTGCACATGATCATGGTCTCAAGACGTATCCTCGTCGTTTGGAATGCATTGCGCAACCAATGTGTCTATGTCGTTTGGAAAATTGCACAACGAACAAAATGTCCAGCCTTCGTTCAAGGGCGGATCCGGGGGGGGGGGGCAAAGGGGGCCATGCCCCCCCCCCCAAAAAAAACCGAAACCAATTTTTTTTTTTTTTAATGTGACGTCGCAATAAAGGCAGGCAATGAGTACACCACAATCTTTTCCTAAAAAAAACATTGGTTAAAGTGGTCAGAAATTGCCTCAGATCGCACCACAGAGCATCTAGAATCCAAAAATTTTTCGGGGCCCTTAAGCGGGCCCCGAACCCCACGCCGTAATTTTTTGACCCACTTTTTTGGGGGGGACCAAATTTTTTTTGGCCCCCCCCAAATTGTCTTCTTGATCCGCCCTTGCCTTCGTTTCAGGTAGATTGCAAAATCAGAAAACGTTTCTTTTTTTTGATAAAATTGCGCAGGAAAAAGAGGGGAAACAAAATAATTCCTAACCATATAAGGCTATATTGGGTTCTATGAATGTTGAACGAAGCTTCTCCTACTTTCTAAGGCATGTTTGCATTAATTGTTTTGGAGAAAATTTATTTTTTGGCCTAATTGAATTTAAAAAAAATAAGGCTTGACCCCTTGTCTTTTTTTTATTGAGGATAAAACACAAAATCTAAATTGCTTCAAAGTTGCTGGAAAGCTGCAGGCAAAGGGATCCCGGAATACATTCTAATTTAATGCAACAGATGTTTCTTCAGTAATCTTTTGGAAACCGAGTGTGTTGTTTTTGCCTCGTGAAAGTTAAACAAAAATTGCCAGTTATTTTTTGCGATGGGTATATTAATTTTATTGTTTGATGTTTCCTGATTCCTCTTCACATTCCAAAAGGTTGTGTTATCTATCACAACCTATCAAGATAGATCATTTAAATGTTTCTTGAATTATTGTCTCCACAAACAGGGTATTGTTTATGACTTATGAACATTGACTTAACTTTGTCTTGTATTTTTCGCGCTTAACACACAAATTTGTTTTGTTGTTATATTATTTCTATTGGCAAGCAATACCTCTTCATATTCAACAGATTGTTGTTATCTTTCTTATTTATTTAATATACGACATTTCAATTCAATGCAACAGTTATTTCTTGAGTTTTCGTTTGGAAACCGAGTGCGATTTTTTGTGTGTCATGAAAGTTGACTTCAGTAAATTCTTCACCATCATGTTATCGTGTGACATTATGTGTGATTGTGTTTCTGTTTAATATAGGTTTTCTCGGTCAATTTCGGCAAATGAGCAGCCAATTTAATTTTCGTGCGTTCGAATTGAAGTTATTTTGCCTCTCCAGTTGTTACTGCGTTTCAAATTCAGAATTCGGCCATTCAATTTCGTTTTGAGGCATTCAAATTCCTTTAGCACTGTGTTCAATTTAGCATATCGTCATTCTTTTTCGTGACACACAATCATCATTCAATTTAGAAAAGCTGGTTCGACTGGAGATTTTACTGATTTAATTTTTTTCAATTTCGTAAAGAGGCAATCAATATTGCTTAAAGAGAATTCAAATAAGTACGACTAAAGAAATACGAATAAACAGATAAACTGTACTAGGCAACTGTTTCGTATCTTCACTTTAATTCAGGCAAACCTTGTTTTCTTTATTTATGCTTCCAGTAGACTTTACATGGGGCCAATGAGGTTTTTTCTTCTTCTTTGTTTTCTTCTTCATTCTTTTTTTTTGGGGGGGGGGATCTTTATTGGTTAACTGACCAAGACCTAATTTTGTATTGTGTTTGAATGGGGTGTTTCTGTATGTTTTTCCTGGTTTTTTTTTATTGTTTATGTTGTTTCTTCCTCAACCATCAATCTGTTGGCGTGCCAGACATCTTGGCATATATGTTTGGGTATGGTTGTACCACTGCATGCACTTCACTTGGGTGATGACATCAACGCTCTGGATGGCTGCTTGTTGAAGGAGATCGCATCTCTACTGCTGCATGTTCATTCCTGCTTGCTGGGCAGCCTGTCTGTCTCCGACACGTTGTTGCCACTCAGGTAACCCAAGGATGCGTTTAACTGCAGCCTTGAATGCAGAGTGTGCCATCTCCGTGCTGTTCAGGAATGGGGAGTAGGGAGGGAGGCGCTTCAGCTGGATCATTGGGTTGGCACCTTCATGGAGTTGGGCTCGCACGTGAGTCGTCTGGTTCGTCGTCTGGGAAAACTGCATCACACTCTTGAATTGTGTCCGCAAGAAACTCCTCGAATCTCTCTCGCGTCACAGTTTCGAATGCGATTCGGTGGTGCACCAAGCCTACTTCACTAGAAACAGCGAAGGTGACATTGCAATTTCTCCCTCGTTGTCTGTCGACGACTCGTCTTGCAGCGATCCCTCGTGGAGCTCTACCCTAGGAGCGTCGAGTCCAGACGTTATAACCTGTCTCGTCAATGAAGACTAGATGCGCCAGAACACCATTCTGCAGGAACCACTCACCATACTGGATGCGTTGATCAAGAACTTCAGGGGAATTTCTTGCATCAGGGACGTCCTCCACTAGTTTCAGTGTAATCATCATCCCATCCAAGGCCCTGGCTATGGTGGCAGTAGAAACCTGGGGCTTCTCTGGCAGATGCTCACTCAAACTAGCCTTCATTTGTTGAAGTGTCAAGACGGGATTAGCGTCAAGGATGCCTTGCAGATGGTTTCGCATGTCATCATCCATCTTGCTGTGGGTTGCTCCTCCTCTTGCCAGCGTCTCTCGCCTTCCAGTCCTCATATATGTTGCAACAATTGATCTGGCTGTGGATTTGTTGATGTTCAAATTGACCGCAAGCTGAAGGTAATCTTGCTCGTTTCCCTCGAAGGCCTCAATCAACGTTTCTCGATCTACCTGGACCACTCTAGCGTAGCGACCACGAGCTGCCATTTCTAGAAATATGCGTGTAAAACTGTAGCGAAAGCTCGTCTTCGAAGTACATCGGCAAAGTGACTCAAGTGCCAAAAAGTGAACCGTATTTATGCCTTCAACATTCTTAAGGA